GCAAGCAAGTATAAAATATTAAGCAAGTAAACAAGCAAGCAAGTATAAAATATTAAGCAAGTAAACAAGCTGAGCAAGCAAGTATAAAATATTAAGAAAGCAAAAAAGCAAGCAAGTATAAAATATTAAGCAAGCAAACAAGCAAGCAAGTATAAAATATTAAGCAAGTAAACAAGCAAGCAAGTATAAAATATTAAGCAAGCAAACAAGCAAGCACGTAAATATGAATCAAGCAAGCAAGTAAACAACTAGTTCCTCGCTTTTCATCAGCCTCGCATACGCTTACCTAGGATCTGGATTCGGGAATCTGCCCGGATCATCTCCGGGTTTGTGACGCCCTGCTCAGTGGCTATGCAGGAGTAGAGGCCCTCGTCGGCCGTTGTCATGCGGGTGATGTACAGAGATCTGCCCATGACGAAGGTGCCTGTACACATAGAACTGGCAAGGGAAAGAAATACCAACACAGAAGTGAGTAATACGCCAATTATATTTATGTCAAAAGCCTCCAATGAAACACACGTCAGTGTTCACAAAATATGTTCCAAAATGCTGTAATGGATCTGAGAAGTATGCACCTGGCATACATTGGTGTTGTTTAAACAAGGATATCTTGGATATGGTTGAAAACATGAAATCTTCCCTTTCTCCTTTTCTGCTCTCAGCTGTTTTTGGAAAAGTTGTAAGACAAATTTCGATACAACTACAGACACGATTATGCCCCTCGTGTATGTTCAACTCTCATCTCCAGTTTGCTTCACCTCTTGCCCCCTTTTCGTGAACGTTGCATGTGCCTCTAGAGTGTGCTTTCTGCTGTAGACGCACAGAAATATGCAAGTGTGAATTTTACGTTCTCATCCAAAGTATAACGCAGCACTCGTTGTAATTTTTTATCTTTGTGTCAAAGTTGAAAATTAAAATCCTCTTATATAATTGGTTGGTAAAACTATACAAGATTCATACTGTGAATCATGCAATCAAGTGCCCAAAGTTAGCAGAATTTGAAGTTAATAAAAAGCTTTTACAAACTTTAAACTGATCATCACTGGTTCCCTGCCCACCTCGCTAAATTGGCAAACTGAAACCCTCCATCAATTGCTACATGTACTTACTTGTTGAAGTCAGCCTGGGAGCAGCGACTGGCAACACGCTTGCCATCCTTCAGCCAATCGATGGCCACCTCTCCATTGTCTTTGGCACCCGCCACCTTGCAGTTCATGCGGGCCGTGCCGTTGGTGAGAATGTACTTGTTGGGCCGTGGCTTGACTAGGAAGTGTAGGCCTATGTATGGACAGAAGGACAATCGGAAGTTTTCCCTTCAAACTTTAAGACCCAATGATACAGTGTACTTCTGAATGAAGAGAAATATAACAAGGGCCCTCATGTAACTGAATCCCCTTAACTTGTTTTCATTCTTTGAGCAGAGTTGTGATAATGATACAAGTACTAGCGCAATTCCAGAACTGTTCGTTGTGCTTTCCAGGGAAAAAAATGCAAAGATAGCGAACAAACTTTAAAGAAAAAGTTGAGAGAAACCAAACCATAAAAAGAGATCAACCCAACAGGTGCGTTTTGAGAAGACACTCAAATAACGCAGGGTTAGGAGCCAATCAGATGGTCGATGGGAGATCGTTCTGCAGTCTGGGAGCAAAGAGAATGACCTCTCTAGCTGCAACCATCCTTTGACCAATTGGCGCCATGAGCAGAGTACACTGATTTCTATACGCTGGATAGGCAGCTCAGCCGCAACTGCCTTCGAGTGAACTGAAGTGACCGAGCGGCCATCTTAGGATATGTAATACAATAGCCTCAACCTTCAGTCCATTCACTTTGTGTATTCATGCACAGCGCTAAAGCCGGTGACTTGGAAAAATGCCATTGTATTGAACAGCCTAAGATGGCCGCACAGCCACTGCAGCTCACAGAGCAGAGCTGCCAATCCAGTGTACAGAGATCAGTGGCCGAGTGGTATAGATGTATAGCCTTCAGAATACAGGTAGACCCCGTCTGATTGATTTGTAAAGTGAACTGCAATCCCAGAGGTAAGTGGGAGTGAGGGCCTGAAGTGATTGGTGGACATGCAAGAGAATTTCTTGAGGTCTTGCTCTACACTATTTTCACTGGTCTGTGCTCCTCTTATCATCATCATCATCTTTAGTTGAAAGGCCGTTCTCCAGTCTGTTCTGGGTTGGCCTGCTTTTCTGCCAGAAGATGAAGATGTTATTAGACAACTTTGCGCTGATGGAGTCCAAAGACAGTCAGATCACAACTCCCACCAGTACATGTAGGCAATGGGTTTTTCCTAATCTAAGTCCTAGTCTCCGACTTGGTTTCATCTTGAGCTCCACCATCAGTGAAGGTTGATAAGTGCTGAAACGTAACTGTCCGGACTTTGGCCTTGTATCTAACAAATGGGCCTGCTGCAGAGTTGGGGCTTAGTCAAGCACAAGGGTCTCTGCATACATGTATGAAGACTGAGTCAGCCTGCTGAAGCCTGGAGCCAAAAACAGACAGCGCTGAGACTTGAAAAACACCTGTCCTGCACATTGCATTAAATTACTATAGCACTGTTAACTCCCTGCCTGCAAAGTGTTCGCAGCCTGCTGGGCCAGCCCGTGTTTGTTTACAAATGTATGGAAAACTCCACATTTAACGGCTCTACACGCTTTTTACAATTACACGTCTGCTTCTGTTCTACGACGGTGCATCAACAAAGTTGATTGAAACACCAAACAAACCACAATGCACAGTCAGTATATGTCTGTTTTATTTTGCTTGGTGTAAGCATCGCCAACATGTGTGCTGGGCATATGCGCTGCAGCGGACGAAGCCTCAGAATGCGTCATACTACTGACAGAAACTGCTCTGTATATTATTTGTGTGTGATCACATGCATGAATTCAAAATGTCTGCATGCAGGATGACGTCAAAGCTTCCCTGCACAGAGGAATGAGGACTTTAGTCATTAAGACAGGTCCATGATCCTACATGTGCATGGGCTTTCCTAAGCAAACTACAGAGTTTTATCTCTAGCTTCTGCACAAGCTCACCTGTTACGACAACCCTGAAGGCCTCCGAGAAGGCTTCCCCAACCTCGTTGACGGCACGACACTGGTACAGCCCCGTGTCTGAGCCGATCACCTCCTTCACTCGCAGGTATCCGTCCCAGCCCTCCTCGAAATGGGTCTCGGCAACTCGCGCTATGGCCTGCATTAAGGACAGGGAGGAAGTACTGACAAGAGTACGTGGGACAAGAACCGTCAGCCGTTACTGCAGTGGCACCATGCTCGCATGCACGTGGTACACACACGTAAAGTAACTCTATGCTCTTCTAGGGCCTGCGGTGACAGTTGGTCTGTTCAAAGCCCAACACAATGCCAGTGCACAATGCTTTTTACTAGAGCTGTACAGAGAGATAGAGATCCGCCCTGAGTTGAAGTGCACCCTCACCGACGAAAGAGAGACTGGCTGGTACCAATAGTTTTCCAACTGGGTTCTTGCACATGTTCGATGTGCGTACTCAGCGTGCTCTGCACCAAACGCGCATTAACTTGCATACCTATGCGGGGATTGAGTTTACACCAAAGGAGTCAATTTAATTTAAAAACATGCCCTCTTTGTTTCCACTCGGAGTAGATAGCACCTACTTCGGACTTTGGAACCAAAATGGCTGTTCATCATGAGTGTACACGTCTTTATACTGTAGCACGCAGCTAATGTGGGCTACATGTACCGTTTACTGTCCATATGCAAGCACGCATAATCCACCATTTTGGTTCCAACAATTTGAGACACTCATGTCGCAACTCCCATCTACCAGTATAGCTCTACTTTCTACCATTTAAAGGGGGCCATCAGGAATGTCCCATCAAACGTTGCTGGATTCATCAATTACCCATCACTTGAGCAAATGACCACAAGAACCCCGATGCAAAGACTACAGCACAAATTCTATATTTGGGGTCAAGACAAGTATGATTTATTCCTACCCTGTCGTCCTTAAACCAGGTGAAGGAAGGCTTCGGTATACCACTGGCTTGGCAGTACAGGGTCATGGGCGTGCCGATCCTGATGAAAGTCGGAGACTGGAAAACGGAAGTGATCTCCGGAGGCGCTGACAGTCAACGAAAAAAAAACAGAGAAATACTAATCGTATATTTTGTTGGACAAACCGTACAAAATTTGTGTCCTGAGCAACATACGTACATGTAGACCGCATCCACACGAAAATGCTCCAAGGTTTAATGCAAATGATATCACAGATTACAGTTATCAGGTTTGACGCTGATAACAAGCACGGCGAGGTTAGTTCCTGCTAGCATCCCTACAAACAAAGACACGAAATCATTTTGACAAATATAAAAAGACGAAATTTTGCCCATACCAGAAAAATTGCAAACCTGAGGAAAATGTAATTGAACTCAAGACATAAAGCAATTGAAAACACGATGAGACCAGAATACATACGGATCAGACAGATGCTGTTGAAAAGAAATAGCATGCTGAAATAGAGAACCGAAGCGAATACGTCACGCGCACAATTAGTGCGTAAAAGGCATTAGCGCGAGAACCAGCACGAGAACCAACACACATGCGTACTCCATTCAGGAAACAGGAACCATGACTGCACTTTATCTGTTTTTACCTACATGCAATCAAGGCCCTTCGGCTAATGTCAACCCTTTAACTTTCTGTAAAGGGCTCCCAGGGATTTGTACGAGGTCTTCCTATGGGAAAACGTACCCCAATAATCAGGGTCCTACTGTTTCTGAATATCCCAAACTGAATGTAAGACAAAGTCACGCATACGATAAAGCTTGGAAGTAAAACAAGAGCCTGAAGACATGTATTTTCTTTTCCTTACCGAGGACAGCCACCTCAAAGAGGTGTTGAAGGGTCTGGTCGGGGTTACGAGCGACGCAGGAGTAGGTTCCACGATCCCCTAAGCCGACAGACTTAAACTCGTAGGAGGATGTGAAGACATCTTCAGCGGAGGTCCCGGTGATGATGGTATGCAGGTTGTCAGTGGTCAGAGTCGCTGTCCCCTGCACCCAAAAAAAAAAAAAAAGGAAGGTTTGAGGAATTGTTCACAGCTTCTCGCTGGGTGGTGTGCAAAGTAACAGAGATTCTTTGTGAAAGCTTCCCTAGTGAACAAGTCACAGCAGTTCTGCATGAAGTAGCAAACGACAGGTACATGTAAATAGGGTCTGGTCTTTCCATGTCACAGTCATGTTTTTTGCCAAGTACTGACAAAACACCCCAAACAACACGACCTTCATAAATACCCAGGACAGTTTTTCTATTTCTGTTGGTCGAAACGCATCACATGACAGTGTATTAATAATTGATAATGCCCGCTGGGAAGTGATGATGCCTGCTGGGAAGTGATAATACCTGCTCCGTAAATTACACACAGGCACATGTGTATGCGAGAAAGTTTAACTGGGTCTGATTGGTCAGGAGACTGTGCGCATGGGATGCACTACGCCCGTGCCAATTGAGATTCTATTGGACAACTTTCAAAAGGAATATACCATAAAATGGGCGGGGTAATTTGGAAAATGAAAGTAAAGTTTTAATTAGAACAAAATCGTTGGAAATCCACCGTATGTTGACTTCTTTTGACTCTCTCTGTCAATAAAAAAGTGTTTATGAATGGTAATAAATCTGTGCTTGGCTGGTCTTAAACTAACGTTAAAGAGCTTGCTCAGGAGACTAAACGCTGGTGCCCTCGCCTGCAGCTCGGGCATTAAGTCACGTCCATTCTCCTGAGCCGGTCTTAAATGCACGTTTAAGACTGGCCAAGCACAAAATCCCCTTAATAAATACCGAATGAAGACTCTCTTTAAACGTAATGAGGCACATATTCATGCTGAGGCAAGACCGGACAGCAAGGGAGATATTTCAGCAAACTTAATTTGGCTGTCCATCTGTCAAACAGGCAATATAAAGTGCAGTACGTCTATCATCATCCAAGCGCACAATTGTACGAGGAATTTCCGCCGAGTTTGAACAGTAGACACACACAGATGCTTAAGATATATTAGTCTAGTTCATGAAGGTTGAATATGTGTGAAACCCTCATCCCTCTGCACGTCACAGCATCGTCAAGTGCATCACATATTGCGACACTGTCTCAGAGTCTTGAAAAAGAAGTGACCCATGTGCTGTGACATGTCACGCAAATCTTGGACAAAAGCGCGAGCCAGCATTTGTAAAGATCTTTGAAAAGGATTTGATTGTAGAATAATACATGTGTTGTTATTTAAAAGGGACAAGTTTATTGTCGGACAATGCCACCTGCAATTTCTGCAATTGGTTAAAGACTTGTGCCAGAGGTAAGTACATACATGTACCGCTCTGCTGTGAACGGGGGCTAATTTCATAGTGCTGCTTAAGAGAAAAAAATATATTTTAGCGTGAAAAAACCTTGCTTGACAAATCAGGTTACCAGTCAAACCTTCCTGTGATGTTTATTATTTTGGAATGGTATTTACCTGTCTTTTGGTTAGCACGGCAATCACATAGAGTTTGAGCTGGTAACCTTTGTTTATTAAGCAAGGTTTTTTCATGCTTAAGCAAATTCTGTGCTTAAGCAACTCTATGAAATTGGCCCCTGAGTACTTGGGATGCCTGTTGGTGTACGACATCCGTAATAGGGCTGATGTCCCTAACTGGGCTGACATCAACGGCTGGCATACATGCATGTTCACTTCACTGGTTAAAAATGCTATTCCCTGTTACTTAAAGGATCCATCCGTTTTTTTTCCCCTACCCAACACAGGCATCGTTATTGATTTCCATTCAATTTTTAATCTCTGGGACAAAAGTGAGGGGATGAGGTAAGCCCGGGAAGAGGACGATACTCGTACCACATGATGGGAACAAAAATTGGATTAGCCATTCAGTTTGACTGGATTCAATTTGATTAGAGATGATTCAGCTCAATGCATGCACAAGGGAATGCCCTTCTATCGTTAATCAAACACATAAGGAGAACATTTGAAACAAAACAACATTATAAATACTGAACAGATTAACCCACAATACAACCCAACAGAAGCGGCAACATCTAATCATTCTTAAAACCACCAATCGCTCCCAACTATCATCCTAAGAGAGCCAGCCGGAACATGAATAAACTCCTGGATGTTTGGCCCTTCGCCCACCCCCTCCCCCCCAAAAAGTGGTCTATTCCCATCGCCCCCCTAGATTTCTGGATGGAAATCATATTGCCCCCGTTGCACAGTGACATCATGCTCTGACTTGCACTTCCAGACACGGCATGGAGGAAGGCCTTTGCTATTAGCTCTCTCTTGCAGGCAGGAAACCATTAATAATAAGTGTGCAACACTAAGGGCTATTTATACGACGGTTTCCCCCTCATGGACCTCCCGTCGCATAACACGCAGAGCTGGGTTTCTTTCACCAGGCCTTGCCAGGCACCGTGCGTAACAGCGTACCACGGCTCAAATTTATTCCGGGGAAAAGTTTCCGCTGTGTACATGTTAGAGTTTGGGCTTCTGCGATATAAACAGACGGGGTATGATTTTTGCCTCAAGATGAAGACAGATACAAAGAGTGGAGTGGGGTGGGATGGGATAAGCTACACTTTCGCAGGGATAGCCCCCTATAGAAAATACTTATATCAATGCTGCTTTCTACTGCATTCCAAGGCAACAAATCGATCCATGAAGCCCGCACCATTGTTTTCTGACCATTACACGCGCGGATGGAACACATGTACTCAGTGTGGCAAGGGAGAGAAGCAGTTGACGTGCTACGTGTAAGTGCCCAGGTGGTGAGCACGCAGCGGGTGGCAGGGCTTCCTGACTGGGTCTATTTAAGCATGCTAACTACATGTATCTCTGACCCACTGTATACTACAAGTAGCACTGTAACATAATCCAAGTCTGACGGGAGGTGGGGGGGGGAGACAGGACTGTTACAATGAAATCCAGCTCCATGTACATCTTCCCCTCATCACTCCAGAATGCCACCTCAGTGTACATGTACACATGCACCGTACACCCTGAGCCATCAATGGGCCAATGATTTGCAATTACCTGTCATGCCTGTGGTGTATGCAGGGTGAGCATGATATATGTACTTAATGTGCAGCGTACGTGTTTCTCCAGGGAAGATCTAGATGATCAGTTGGATTGTAATGACCAAAAAGCTTCTAGCTCAAGCTTCATCTGTTTAACCCCTTCCTGCCGGGGCAGTTATCAATGTTGATGATGCTGGGCTGGGATATTTATCATTTTTTTCTGTCTTCGAAATTCTTTAAAAATGCCTATCTTCATTTACTGGACACTTACTACAAACACGTGAAGGACTGTCTGGTGGCCCCTCTAGCCTGACAGACAAAATCTATTGACCCCTGAGTATTTCAGCCAGGCCTGCAGCCTTGTAAAAAGAGCCCAGATTGTGCGGTGTTATATAACTTTCACTTGTTAACGAACCTGACTCAGTGTGCTGCTGACCTCTTTTCAATAGGGGCCAGATTAGCATGCAGCGGTGCTGTGTGGCTCATCGCTGCGGTGGTGGAGCACTTTTGTCCCCGGTGTAATCTGCCCGCTCTAAATGCCCTAAACCGTGGTATACTGTTTCAAAACAAGGCTGGATTATCTCCACTTTTGAGAGTGAAAAAATGTCGGTAATGCCCAGCAGCCTGGTCTTTTGTTCCGAGTACGGTCTTTTGTTACAAGGCCCTGTTCCCTTTGTCCGACTTCGGAGACCCCAGCCATGCATATAAAGCATACATGTCCAGATCCGGAATCCCCGGCAGGGAGTGCTTAATGACCCCTGGAACTCATCGCTGCCAGGCCTGATGCCTAATCATGCATGGTGTAAAGTGCTTTCCTCATCATCCCAAGGTACCTTAACCCTAAGAGTCCTATCCTTTTTTTAAGGAGATAGAAGATTAACAACCGTTAGCATCTAGGCAGTTTCACACACTTCATGCCAATTCAAAAGCAAGGCAAGTTTGACACAACAAAACATTTGCAGTAAATTTCACTTGAGATGAAACGTGTTAACTGTTGTACAAAGTCACAGTCCAAATTTTTTATCTGACGTCATAAAACCACACTCATGATCGCTTCCACGCCAAGCTTGAAACAGCCTTTAAAATGTGTACCTTTTTCCATTGGACGGTCGGGCGGGGTGAGCCCCTAGCACTGCAGGTCAGGGTGGCGTTGTCTCCGAGGACGTAGATGGATACTGACGGTGGGGTGGTGACGAACATCATGGGAACTGCCAGGATGTGGAACCATAAGGATATTAGAATGTGCCGACAATAGACAAGCTGCATAGTCTCATAGAGTATAAATGCATGCAGTTGTGGATCCCGAGGGGTGGGTGGTTTTCCATTCCTGTCCTTCCAAATATGTGTAAAACGTCCCCAATTCTGATGCACCCCAAAAATGTCCCATTAAAAAATTTCCCTATCTTGCCCCCTCCCCCCGAAAAAATTTTGCCGCTGATGAATGACAAGTTTGGGTCCGCCTCTGACCATTCATGTCCCCTTCGCCAACAGGAAATTCTTCATGGGAAATGCATTTTTCCCAAAATGCCACTTAAAGATTATATCCACAGGCAAACGGAGGTTGATTGTATTCATATGCATATTCATATTCATAACAAGGAAACTGACGTTTCTGAAATTCGCTGTGCACTCATTGCATTTTGTAAATCAACTCATCAAAAATTTACCACGATTTTTTCATGGTTTTGACCATAAATCCTGTTATCATATTGATATTAGAGGATTAATTAAGCCCTGTCACTCACACGCGCGAGTTGGGTTGGTTTACAACTGTTGTTTACAAACTTCTGCCAGACATTTTTTCTTTCAAAATTTGGGGGTTTTTTGCTACCCCTAACATTCCAAAAAAATTCTTTCTTTTTCTTGATAACTAATTCCACATATTCTGAAACAGCTTCTTCAAAACAACTTTTAGGAACTCGATTGATACTAGACCCCTCAAATATTCATCAAAGAGTCCGAGGGAACATCTTTTTGGGAGCTGTGCTGTGTTTCACCTTCACAAAATCTAGCTAGAGTTCCTGTCCTCTTTGTGACGTTGCCGGTAGGTCTGATAATCTCACTGTAATGCCGCAAACAAACCGCTCTGTTGCTAACGGTAGAAAAAATGAATGTGAAAAACTGGAGACAACCTACCCAGAACGACAACAGATATCGATGAGCTGACACCCGAGCCAACGGTGTTGGTGGCTCTGCACTGGTAGCTACCCTTGTCAAGTGACTCCACAGCTACGTGGGAGGACAAACACACTTCATTACATATGTATTAGAAACTGGAAGAGAGCTTACAGATACGTGACTAATTGCGACCGAGTATTCTTTGTCAGCTTTCAAAAAAGGAAGATGCAACGGGTAACTTGTGATATTCAGCCAAATGCAAACAAATACCGACTCCTAAAGTAAGAGATACATTCCTTCGCATGGTGCTACTGCAAGCCTTTCCACCTGTTGCTGTCTTTCACGAATACGGTAGCCTGAAATTCCAAACACCGACTTGTTAGAGTCATTTGTTAGCCTTATTTATTACAAGCCATGTCCGCACTGGACTTCTATTTCCAAGGGTTTCGCCTTCCGACCACAAATGAAAAATGGTCAACCGTGACCACTGTCTGCACTTGGACTCTCGACAAGGGAAAACTTTATCGAGACTGCAGGAGAAGTAACCAAGCTCTCAGTGCAATGACTTATGAGGGGGCTTTGTGTGACCTTTCTGTATTTGTTTGTGTCCCTGGATATGTTACCATCCTCATTTTCATCTGGGAATGGGATGTATTCTTAACATCATGTCCCAACTACCTTTGATGGTCAAATTCCTCCCGCTGAAGATGAATTTCCGGCTGAAGCTGAGGGGGGCCCCATCCTTGAGCCAAGAGACGTTGGCCTCAGGGCTGCTGTCGTAGGGGCAGGTCAGGACAACTTGCTGGCTGGCGTTGACTTGGATTTCTCTGATGGCTGGGGTCTCAAAGACGGGTGCATCTGGAAGAGAAGTCAAAGACAGTAATTAACAGGTGGTTGAGTCTGCTTCATGCAAGTTAGCGCAACCACCCTGTTGGTAATGCTAGTCTGCAAGAGTCCATTTTTTTGTCCGAGTCTACATGTAGCTAATATTAGTTATCACACAAACAATATTTAGATTTACTGGGTTATAGATTAGATTTAGTCACATGCACTACGGCACTCCAGCACTGTTCAGAGTCGGAAAGAGGATGTGGGTAATTCCAGAAATTAGGGATCCATTTTTTTTCTTGTCCCTGTCACATCTGACGTAAGACTTTGCAAGTTCAGAGCACATTTTCTAATTTTCAAGAGTGACGAATTAATGCAAATTACCTGCCAAACAAATAGTAATAGTTTGAAATCAATTCTGATAATATTTCCATGTCAAATAACAATTACCGGTAATTGGTCAAATGTAACAGGGACACAAAAATGTCACTCTTTTGGACCCCTAATTTCTGGAACTACATGTGTACCCATGTGCAAAGTTTGGCCAGGCCGTCGCATTGCTAGAAAAAGAAAAAAATGGAAAAATTGGCACTTGAGCGAGAAAGGAAACTGAAGAAAATCTGACCCGTCCATATGGCAAAAAAGCAGAAAAATGAAATTCGATTTTCAATAAAATGGCGGAATCTGCTAAAATGCAGAGAATTCACACCCCAGAATAAATTTGGCAGTTATGCATTTTGCTTCAGCGTAAAATCAGCACAGTGCATTGAATTAGAACAGCGCATTACGCAGCGTTTGACACGGACCGTGCAACAGTTATAAAAGTATGCCACGCTGTACAGAGTATGTTGCCATGGATCGACCAACCAGAACTGAGAATTCAACTTTGCCTGAAGATACAGTCACGAGTCCACATTGTCGAGTCCATATCCAAGTCCAAATTTGGTCATGAAATGGTCGTCAAGCAGATTACATATTCAATCAGTCGAACGAACATTACAGGAACTTACAGGACACCTGTACGTAGAATGTGCAGTTGCCAGATTTGGAGGCTGCATCAGTGGCGACAGCCGTGAAGACGCCACCGTCGGCTCTTTGCACCCGGTCAACAGTCAAGGTGCTCCCATCCGCGGCAATGGCAAAATGGGTGGTGCTGTTAATCTGTGGAAAAGGAAGATGTATTCTCGGGCATGTTAAGAGACTATTTTCATGGAAAAATGATGCCTCTACAATCTTGCATCTAATCACCATATTGTTTGGCCAAAAGGGTTACTTGTCTTTCATCTTGCTTTAAAAAGCTACTTGGCTACTTAGTGTTTATGTTACAGTTAGATAGCTTAATTCTTTCTGAAAATTTACAATGTACATGTAATTTGCTGCCTGTCACCACAAAACGGCCCAAATTGCCTGTACAATGACACCTTTTACCCATCTTGTTGTGTTCCAGCCAGGAGGACAGACAATCTGTGCTGTAAAAATGGACTTATGCCATGAGAAATTAAACTGCTGAATCCTTATTGTATAAGCAAATGTGTCACTGAAAAGTGCAGCATCGGAATGACAAGTAAATAACGTCATTTTTTTTCCAAAATCTGACACAAAGACTAATGGAAGTGCAAACTGAAGCAAGTCTATGATTCAAACTGCAGTCACTACCAAAAGTACAGTACCTGCTGTACATGTACATGTCACACATAAATGTACTGAAAGTTTTACCCCTAGAGACATTAATGGATTGCGGTAAGTATCGTCCTGCTTGGTCACCAGAATAGAGAAATACCCACAGAATTGTTTTCCCAAAGTGCATGTACAGGTACATGTACTGTATACCTGTAGGTAGCGCTTGGTGACATCCTGCAGTGGCATAAGTACGGTACATGTACATGTACATGTAGGGCTATTATGTCTGAATGGCATGCGGGGGTGCACACCTTTTTTTCAAGGGGGCGGCAAAACATATATGAGCTGCAGCAGAGAACATTGTTCATGGATTTCAAATGGGGGGCACCCGGGGGCCGAGGCATTCACTGGGGGAGGGGGGCACATGACCCCCATACTAGGCCAATGAGTGACATGTAAATTTAAGAAAACATGGGTTACATTGTCTCCGTAGAGGACAAAAAAGGGGCATTATTCCTGGACTTACATGTACATGTACATTGTACTGTATGCATACTAGTGCAAGTATACATGTACCTGCCCTGTACATACATGTACATGTACATGTACTAGCACCTGCAATATCAATTAGAAAATGTACAGTATACGATCCGTTTTCTGCAAAATTATTTCTATGGAAGCACAGCATGTAGGGCCTACCAGTACATGTACATGTACATCATGTATACATGTTTGTGCATTACATGCGCGTGTACGTCACTTGAAAATTTTTGAGAAAGGTATTGGGTAGGACCTCCATATACTTGAACAGGATACATTAGTCACCACTGCTGTAACTACTCACTTCCATGGAGGGACTTCTTGGCACAGGATCATGTGGTGTGGTTTTTGTACATGCATGTGTACGAGTAAAGGGTCCAAGTGGCAAATGTCAAGGGAAAAAGTGAAGCATGATTTTTTATTTTCTGCAACATTGAAATAGATACACAAACTGACCAATAAGGTGAGTGATTGGTACGTCAGTCTCCATGAAGATGCGAACAGTGGTGCGACTGCAAAGACCAACTCAACACCCATTCTTTCATGTACCGGTACTGTACTCCTGTAGCTCCACTAACCCAAAATTTAATTCGTATCAACATGCTTTTTGAACATTTGTAAGAAGAAAAAGTTAATGAAAACATAAAAAAATTTGGAATACATGTACTGTATGTTCAATTCATGCCTGTTAGTGTTAAATAAACATTCAGGTTTTAAAAGTCAGTTTTGGTTTTGTTTTGAGTTCTTTTGTTTGGGGGATCATCTTTGGGTGCTTTGTACACTGTACATGTATCTTGGTTACTTAGGGGAGGGAGGCCTTTTTGGGAAGGTTTTTTACCTTTTGGGATGGACAGGACTATTTATGTAGGCCTACATGTACTGTCTTCCTCAAGCATCAGTGGGATAAAAATTAATTTTCAAGCAAACTTTACATGTGTACATGTACATGTGCAGGCACCAATACATGTTCTGCTTTTAAATACAAAGTGCAACATCTAAATCATATCAGGTGACGGGTGTAAATTCACGCATTGCACTTAGTAGACAATATTCATTTAGATGAATAACAATTTTAGGGATACCAAAAGATCGACAGGAAATTCTTATTAGTAATCATTTCCTCAAAAGCGCCCCAGGCACTGTACATGTATGTTCATGTAGCTCGCAAGCCTGAAGAAACCTGTAGAGAGGAGACGATGAGAAGCGATTACAGTTTTAGAGGTGGGAGGAAAACCCAACAGGAATACTCTAGGTAAAACCCACGGGATCAGGCACCATAGTAGTGAGGACTGAAAGCTGTCGGTTCATGTGGACTGAGCCAGGAATTGAACCTGGGCCACAGAGGTGGAAGGCGGGGAAAGAAACCCAACAGGAGTACTCTGGGTAAAACCCACGGGAGTAGTAGTGAGGACTGAAAGCTGACGGTTCATGTGGACTGAGCTGGGAATTGAACCTGGGCCACAGAGGTGGAAGGCGGGGAAAGAACCACGACACTAACCTGACTCCTCCCATGTTGCAAGGGGCTTGCTCTTTATCAAACTTTCCCTCCCTACAGCTTTCTGAAACAAAAACACTGGTTTTTCTTGGCGATTTTAACATGTTCCAAGCCATCTACTGGTACATGTACACATACATGTACATGTAAAGGAGTATAAATGGAATTTTACACATTTTTAAAAAGTGTTGTGTCCTTTTCATGTTGTTTGTGTTGCGAGGTTGTACATGTACCGGTATATGTACACATACATGTACATACAAGTACCCTTGAAGACAGTTTTCAGTGGTTTTCATTGCACTCTTGGCTGGAGACACAACAAAAATGGTTATATATGTACATTCAGTAGTCTTTGTGCTAACTACGGTTACGGAGCAAAATGGGGACTTCCATAGAATGATTGCAATTACACGCACAGATAATTATTACACACTGGCCATGAGTCCCCTTAGCACACACATACGAGTATACATGTACCTGTCTGTCCATGTCTGATGTAGGCTGGTGAAACCAGCGGAACGTGACTGGGCTGACGACACCAAAACGCTGTAAGATACATCGCATCTGGACATTGGTTGCCCCTTCCTGGACAGGCAACCGCTGTTGCTGGTCGATGGTGATGCCTGTTCAAGTATTTTGGAAACAAAATACAGTGTACCGATACATGGACATTAAAGATATTAAAGTTACAAATCATATGCTTACAGGTACATGTAGTACTGATCAACTGCCTTGATTGGAAGATGCCATTCCAGGCAAATTTTAGGCCTACTGCAAATCGGAAATTTCACATTTTCAAAATTGTTACATATGAGTCCGTCCTAAATCCTGTTGAAACATACAGAGAAAGTTGCACTTCACCCTTGATCATGTTTGAATGTGTCCCACATCGGAAATTCTGAAGTGCACGGGTAATGTTATTGCATGTACATGTACGCTGGTCATTACTGGCAGTACATGTGAGTTTCCCTCAAGTTTTTTACAAATTTAGCCCTAACCATCCCTAACCACACAGAATTCAACACCAGTAAAGTGTACAAATTTGTGGCATTGGGTACTGGC